GGGGGGGGGGGGGGGGGGGGGGGGGTAGGTTTAACAGCGTGCGCTGTTTGCACTGGGATATGTTTACTCTCTTGATCAGAGTGGTGCGAAACAGCTGCACATCCAAACTATTCGCCGTTTCGTACGCTCCTCCTAACGGGATCGAGACCGGTGCGATCTGTGGCAAAACAAAGCAGCATAGACAGCCTCTCGGGGACAAGAGTAGTCAGCGCCTCCACTTCATTCTCGACATTGCAAGCGCATCTACCAAACGGCGTCAAAGCTACAGATGCCCCCCCTTCCCAAAAGTTTTTTATGTTTCACCTCGCCCGAGCAGCCCTGATCCGTCCTCCCCGCTCCCTTCCTCCCCGAGCCCCCCTTTTCCTCTCGAAGCCTCTCCTTCCCAGCCAGACGACCCCGACGGTCGTTCGGCGTTGTCGTTGTTGTTGCGGGGCCTGTGGCCCTCGCGCCTGCCGCCGCCGCCGCCGACGCCTTCTTTTCGCCTTCGGCGCGAGGAGCGGACTCTCTGGAGAGCTTGGCTCAGCTCAAGCGCTTCCATCGTCTTGGCCGCGTCAGTCGGCAGACCGTCGAACACCTGAAGCAGCAGCAAGAACACCAAATGACCACCACGACCAAGGAAGGAAGGAGGGTGAGCAACTGGCATCGAGCTGCAGCCGGGGGGCGGGCGGGAGCTGGTTGAGGGAGGGCCTGCGATTCGAACGGGGTCATACAACTTGTGTGTGTGTGTGCATGCCGACACACAGTAACAGCAGCAATATTCTCACCTCGCTCCAATGCCCCAAAGTGTGCTGAGAGAGAGCGAGGTGTGTTTCACTTTCGATGCCACCCTTACTTTGGTCGATCTGCTTTCACCCCCATGTCACTGTGGTCATGCCCATCACGACGCCGCTTGCACCATCGCCAAGGCGCGCCACCAACAACGCCCACGGCCCCACCAGTCTCGCCCGGAGCCTAGACGATCATTACAGCACACACTACCCCAAGAAAAGAAAAGCAATTGCCGTGCCCCGTCAAGAGACTCCCCGACACCACGTTCAAGATCTCACCTTCCCCGAAACCCCCAGGGTCAAGCAAAACGGTACCTACCGCGCCAAACGTAGACGACGTGCAATCCATGGGCGTCCTCCCTATCATCCTTTCCCTTCCTCGTCCCCCCGCGGGCTCCCCAAGCCCCCCCCCCGTCAACGGCGCCGCCGGCGCCCTCCCTCCTCCCCCTCCCGCGGCCGCCAACGCCAACGCCGACGCACGAGACTGGAGAACCTGCCGCGTCCTCTGCCCCCTCTGGTGGGCCTCGATGGCCTGTGCCTTGTACGCCCGGCTCCGCTTCCTCTCCTTCCGGACGGACCGATGCGCCCGCCTCCTGAGGGATTCCAGCTCGTACCGCACGCGCGCGACGTGCGAGTCCCGCTCGGCCCCGGCGGCGCGACGGATGTCCTTGAGGGCGCTCACGTGCGCCTCTCGCGCCTGCGTTTGGTTGTCGTAGTCGTTGTCGTTGTTGTGTCCAAGGAGGGGGGGGTAACGCGGACAGGGGGGGCGGGGTTAAGGGTGCGTGCGTGTGCAATGCGGATACGGGTCGCGCCGAACTTGACGCATGAATGGTGAGAGCCAGTTATAACAGCACTACACATCACCCCGGTAAAATGTGATTCTCAGCGGTTGCTCCCCCCACCCCGTCTGGTGTTGTGGACATGGAAGTCGAAGGGCGAGCGCACGGCACACCACGGAGTGCGTCGTGATGCCAAACGCCCCCTACGTGGCGGACCGTTTCTTGCCATGTGTGGAGGACCTCCTATACCACCTACATCATCCAGAAGAAGCAGAGAGCCGGCTGTAGTGCAACACAAAACACCAACGGACCGTCATCAACCGCAACAACAACAGCAAGGAGCCCTTGGATGCCACGAAAAACACAGAAGCTGATCGCCTGAAATACGTACGCCCATGCTGAGTCGCGGCGAGATATGAGGGGAGCAATACGATTTCATCAATCGGCGAGACAGCCAACTCTTAATTGGACATGTTCGATTTGTCGCCTCGATTCATCCCCTTCGAGACCGCACAAAATTTAAGCCACACACTCAAGGCCGGGGCAGGGATTAAAGCTGTGCTGCGTGTTTTTGCTGACGAAAGGACGCGTACGCACGCACGCACGCACGCACACGCAACGCAATTTTTCTCATTTGGTGAGCCGGTTACCTCGGCCAATAACACCAACACCAACCAAGAACCACGCAAGCACAACGCGCGAACAGACACAGCCAGCCAGCCAGCAGCCAGCCAACCAGCAGCCAGCCAGCCTCTCTACCACTCAGCCAGCCAGACTGCCAGCTAGACAGCCAGCCAAAGAGACAGACAGAGCAAATAGATAGAACAGACAGACAGACAGACCTGGTCCGCTTCGGCGACCAGCCCCGCCAGCTCCTCCTCGGCCATCCGCAGCCTCTCCCTTAGCCCCTCGTTCTCCCCCTCCACCTCCGCCAGGCATTCCCGCTCCCGCTGCGCCCGCTGCGCCGCCGCCGCCGCCGCGGCCCTGGCTTCGTCTCGCTCGCGTCCCGCACCCTCGGCGGCCTCCTCGGATCGGTCGGCCGCTGACTGGAGCGCCGCCACCCGCTCTCGCAATGCCTCCTTCTCGCGTAGAACCCGAGAAGCTTCCGACTTCGCTCGTTCCGACTCTCCCCTGCGAAAGAGGTTGTTTCGGAGGTCGGGGCAACGGGGGAGGGGGGATGGGATGGGAGGTTTCGGGAGGCTGCTGTTGAGAGGGAAGGGTAAAATGAGACAGCTTGAACCTGGTCTGTGCGCCTCCCCTAGCCTCCGCCCTCCGACACCGCCGCCCACTCAAACGCCCGAAACGCGAGAAAATAAGAGATGGAAGGCGGAACACGAGCACCCAAACCATCATGCGTTGCGATACAAACAGACGCGCAGCCAACACAGAGATACACAGAGAGAGGCAGAGAGAAAGGACAGAGAAAGAGAGGTGGAGAGAGACAGACAGGCAGACAGAAAGAGACACAGAGAGAGAAATAGACAGAGAAAGAGAGGCGGAGAGAGAGAGAGAGAGAGAGAGAGTGGTGCAACGCGCCCCGTGTGGGTCCTCCCCTCTCGTCTCACCGCATCTTCTGGATGTCCTGCTGGGCGGACGAACCGACCCTTTCCCCTTCGAGCCTCAACCTCTCCACCTCCGCCTCCAGCTGCGACAAGCTTTCCCGTAGGGCGCTCGTTTCCTTACCGGTCTCGCTCCGCACTCTCTCCTCCACCTGCTGCGCCGCCCGGAAACGGTTGGCCGCTTGTTCGGACGCCTCGCGAGACCGCCGCTCCGCCAATGCCTGGGGGGGGAGGGGCGGGGTACGACAGAAGAAAGAGACGGAGAGAGGGGGAGAGAGAGAGAGAGAAAGAGAGAGAGAGAAGGAGAATTGGGTTGGGTCGGGTCAGGTTGGGTATGTAAATGTTGCAGGTTCTTCGTTCATCCCAAATCAAGAAGAAAGGCAAGGGAGTCGCGAGTGCAAGTGTGCCGCTCAAACGCCCGCATCAAAACAGGACAAACAACCCCAGGACTGCTTTACGGTCTTAAGTGGGTGCGATGCGTGAGAGACAGAGGGAGGAAGCAGGTCGTGTGGTAAGAATTTCGTGCGAGCACCCGCGCGCGGCATCAAAAGCCAAAATATTTTCAGTATTGAGATATGGGAGCTATGGAGAGGTAGACCAAGAGGGGGAGTCGGTCGATGTCGATACCGTGATCGATGTCATCGTCGCAACACACGGACGACGATAAACCAAGGGAGAAGCATTGGGTGGAATTCTCTGTTTTTGAGCAAGCTTCATCGCAGTTTCGCTTCCCCGCTCCGCAGAAACTGCCTTGCGAGTGTCAATGTGGATGTTTCCATGCATCGGTGCCTCTTCAAAAGTGATTTTGCGGGCACGCCGTCAACCCATATCGAAAGAATCAAAGCAACGATTCACCAACCAAAGTACTGATGTGTCAGCCGCGGTTGCCTCAAGCTCCACAGAAAAATCGGACCTCATCAAGAACCATCCTTTGTCTGTCTGTCTGCCTGCCTGTTTTCCAGTCTGCCTCTGCCTCTCACGAGTGCTTTGGCGATAACCTTCAAAACGGACTTCCACCAACCCCCAGCCATGGTCACCGCCCCCCCCCCCCCCCTCCCCCCACTCACTATTCTTTTTATCAGCCCCTCGTTGGCGGCCTTGAGCTCCGCCTTTTCCCGGCCCCACTCTAGCGCCAGCCTCTCCGCCGCGTGCCTGACCTCCGCCCTTGCCTCGAGCGCCACCCTGTCCTTCCCCGCGCACGCCTCCTTCAACTTGGAGACCTCTTCGAGGGCGTCTTGGAGTCTGTCGCGCGCGTCGTCGGCCTGACGGCGGCGGCGGTCAGTGGTATCTTCGGCCTCCGCGCACCGGCGCTGCAGGGCCTTCTTGTCGGCTTCGAGCGTGGACACCTGTTGGGGATTGGTTGTTGTTGTTGTTGTTGTTGTTGTTGTGTTGTTGACGATGATGAAGGATGGAAGGGGCATATTCTGTGAGTGGTCTACGAGGTTCGGAAGTAGCCCACAACTTGGCACGCTCGTCAACACATCCATCGGAAAAGCGTACAGGTTCACCATAGGACGGTGACGGGGGCAAGCGGTTCAGAGACAGTGTGCACCTGCAGCGGAGGAAAACTATTCGCACTGGAATTGAAATTCTCTGGGTGGGATCACCCATGCCTCCTCATCTCTGTCTGTCCGTCTCTCTCTCCCACACAAGCTGTACTTGCGCATGGATCTGCCTGTCTGTGTATCTGTGCATCTGTGTCTGAAAGTCTGCCTCCCTGTCTGCACGTGTGCGACTCTCTCCGGCAGCTTGTGCTCGCCTGTGTCTCTCTGCCTCTCTCTCTCTCTCTCACACACACATATACACGCTGTACTTGAGCCTGCTTGTGCCTGTCTGCCTGTCTGTGAAATCTGCGTGTCTGTCTGTAAGTCTTCCTCCGTGTCTGCAACATGTGTGTCTCTCAGCCTCTCACTTCCCCCCCCCTCCCCCCTCTCTCTCGCCTCACCCGCACGTGGGTCGCGGCCGACTCGCTCTGGTGAGCGAGAACGAGCTTGTGCCGCTCCAGCTCCGCCGCCTCCCTCTCACTCCGAACGGCAGCCATCTCGGCGTGTAGCTGTGCCTTCACCGCCTCCGCCTCCTCCAGCTTCCTCCTTAGTAGACGTCCCTTACAGGCCGTAGAACAAGGACAAACATGGACGGGGTTCTCGTGTCTATACGGAGGGATTTCGCATGCGGTCTGGGATGTTGCTGCTGATGTGAGTTGGGAGTTGAACGTATGAGTGGGTGTTGTGCCCCTTGCCGTCTGAAAGCGGGGTCGAGTCTCAGGCCCTTCTGCAACGGACGGAGGCCTCCGCCCAATGAGGTTTGGTGAGGACAGAGTCTTGTTCTCTGGAACGGGCGAGACAAATTAACGGGGGCCCTGATCGAACGAGCATACAGCACAGGCAACACGTACGCAAAACAGGGGGCAACAGACACGTCGCGACAACCCCAAAGAGTCCCTGCAAGGATCTGCAGCGCTGTCCGGTGTTTGTTGTTTCGTTCGGTACCGTATAGATTCCGCCAAAGATTTTATAGTCGGAGTGTATCGATGCGGAGACGTTTCCAGTTCTTGACACCCAGCCGGCCACGTCACCGCCTTGTTCATCCTTTGGCGACCGCCTTCGTCTGCAACGCCCCTAACGGTGCCATCAGTGCCGACTACTATCGACATACATATTCACGCTTTCACGCCCCGTGACCCCACGAAATCTAACAGACATCAACGTGTGCTCTACACCAACAAGCTCTGACGAGAACCTATTATAGAGTTACTGGGTTAGGGCCACAGTCAATCTAGGGGGCAGCCAGCCGCCCTTGGTACATGCATACCTCTTCGTCTCTGTCTGCATCGGCGAAGGACGCCTCGAGGTCCTGCACCCTCATCTTCAGGACGTGCGACTCCGCCTTGTGCTGCTGGTGCAACGCCTCCATCTCCCTGCCCTGGTCGATCGTGTACTGCTCGTACTCCGCCTGGTTTGAGCGCCAACAACAAAGAACAAGACAAGAGGCGGTATTTCTAGGTTGATCCAGATATTTTCCGCGAAAATTGTACGCCTACAAAAAAAGGGATTGTGATAGATGGAATCACGAGCTTTGGAAATATCGAAATATCGGAACCCGTGGCGCTTCTAGACACTGGAGCGTATAACTCAAGAAATCCTGGATCAGATTGACGTTCGTGCCGCTCTTTGATCGAAAGGCGCAAGACCGACAACATGAACAAAGATGAAACGCCGAGGAGTTTCCCGTACAGTTGCATCATACAGGCACACGGGTACGCACGCGCACCCTGGGCAACAAGAACACAACAACAGTATAAAAAGCTTCCACCAAATGACCCTTGAAAAACGGATAAACTCCTAACAACGCCTACCAGTACACCCAAGAACAAAAAGCCAAACGACAAAAATAAGAAGAAGGGTTGCATACCTTGCAGCGCTCATGGTCACGCCGCGCCTTGCAAAACATTTGGCGGTGCCGCTCCACCTCGGCCTCTAGCGAACCGACGCGCCGCTGGTGGGGGACCTGCAGCTCCTCCTGCACCTTCGCCCTGGTCATGGATGGGTGGTCGGTGGTCAGGACAACGATTGAAATCGTTGGACTATGCGACGTGGACCGTTAGTGTGGACCCAAAGACGGAAGAAGTTGATGGTTAAAATGATCACAGCGGGTTTGAAAAAAATCATGGTTGGAGTTGGGGCAGGTTTCTTTGCGTCGGTGATGTTCGGTCAGCCGGCTGAGGAGCTTGTCTCGCACTCACGGTGAATACTACATAACGGCCCCGCAATTAAGAAAAAACCTGTTCAGAAAAAAATCTCAAATTTCTACGAAAAATAAGAAAAGGGCTAAGAAACACAACTCAATCTCGGCCACAACAAAAGAAACGTCCCAATAAGAAACATGATGGTGCGATACCCCCAAGACATAAGAAACAAGGGGTAGCTGGAGGAGCGTGTCTAATATGAAACGTCTCACTGCTGCTGCTGCTGCCGTGCTCCCTCCCCTACCTAGGTACCCCATGTGATATAATTTTTTGGTAGCGGGGGAAATGTGTTATGTTCGCGGTGCCCCCCGTGCCCCAGCGCCGCCGCGCGTTGCACTACCCACTGATGTACTGCTGTATTGATCTCCACTACGCTCAATGTTCGCAACACCAAGCTGTCGGCTTCATGTTGCATGAAGGCCGGCCCACAAAGGAATAAAAAATCCGTTGTGAGAAAGTGATCGACTTCGGCTGGTCCTTCTGCCCAATATAAGACATTGAGGCTCGACCCGATTCTGACGTTTCTTATCTCCGGGCCCGTTCTGTACGTACAAAGGCCGGTTGCGATTTTGGTTGCGATTTGTTTAGCTTTCTTCGATATCTTCTCCTGTGCATCCTAACGAGCCCTGGTTAAGACAAAACTCTAGGCGATGCTGGCTCTTCCGCGATAAGACTGTGATTCACAACCCGGTGAGAATATTCAAAGCCATTCCAAGTTAATGATGTAGTTTGTTCGATCAAGAGTACGAGTGCGTACGGCACATGAATACGATTACAGCTGAAGATACTGCGTGCCTGATACGATTACCTTAGACGAAACACCCCACTTTTCCACTGCCCATCTCGTGACGAGGACAAGCACCACCGCAGTCATCACCCAACCAGTACTCCGAAGCCCTCGAACCCGACAAAAAACCGCAAACCGAGAGAAACCCGAACCTGAGCATGTCGAGGTCTTGGGGCACGAGCTTAGCCTGCAGGGCCTCGAGCTCCCTCGTCCTTCCCTCCAGCTGCACCTTCCACTTGTGGACCAGGGTCTCCGTGCGCTGGTCGGCGTCCACGCGGCTCTCCACCGCCTCCAGGAGCTGCTTCCGGGTGGTGTTGTGCTTCTCGCGGAGGTGGATGAGCTCCGTCCGGACAGCCTCGTAGTTGGACTTGAGCTTGTCGTTCTGGCTGCCGAGGGACTGACAGTCACCGGATTACACGAGTTCGGTACAAAACCAAGCCGAGAGAGGGAGGGGAGGGGGTACATGGGTTGACTGTCATTTCGGCCGGCCAAAAACTGGACAGAGGAGAGGTTTGTTGAGACACGACGAAACGTGCTGTAGTGGTCGGACTTGATCGGTTTCTGATGCCCGGGGACTGATGGGATACACACGAAGGACTTGGATGTGCTGGTTGTCTGGACTCGGAGCTGTGTGTCGTTTGGGCTACCCCAACTGCGTACACAACGTATAACAAAGGTTTGCGAATGAAAGAATAGACGCACAGCTTGCGGCAGAAGAAAAAAAGACAAACATGATGTAAAGTTGGAGCTTATCTGATCGTTTTCGCTGCCCCGGATTGTACAAGAAAACTACATTGTATGTACAATTACAAGAAAGTGAAGAGGGGAGAGGAAAATTCTTGATCGGAGGCAAAATCATGGCTGGATGTTTTACGGCGCGCGTCGGGTGGGGTCTGCAAGTCATTTAAGTCCTTTGTGGAGTGTTGATCCGACACTAAGGCATTCTACTGCAGGAGTGATGCGCCTGCGTTCGAGTCAAGGTCTATAAGAACACCTCCCTCCTCGACCGACGTTGAAAGCTCCGTTACCCCAACACGAACACGGCACCAAAATCAAACGATGCGTTTCGGAAAGCTCTCGATGAGACGGTTCCAACGCCATTTTCGGCACCATCATGACTGTTTGTGCTGCAGAGTGCAATCGAGCTTTACAGTCGTTCAATCGTTCGGAGGGAGTGCGGTATCTTACGCAACACACATCGAAGTGCACACAATCAATGCTGTGTAATAGTCTGCAGGGCGTATTGAATGCGACACCCTTTTACAATCGCTGGATCCCGATGTCATTTATCATGTCCTAACTTTATCTACAGCGGTCGCGAACACGTTGCGATACTGCGTGATAGCCTATACCTATGCTCGTATCGTGATCGTATAGCTTCTATCTTCGTGAAATCCGTTACTGCTGCTGTACTCGTTTGAATCCCCGACACAAAAAAACGCTCCGTTCACAAGATACACATACCTCCGATGTCTTCCGACAAGACAGCAGTGAAAGGCGGAAGATGCAAACACAACCGCACGCACCTGGCACACCCCGACGGTACGTTGCAAGTCTCCCTGCAGACTCCCGACCGTCGCCAGGAGCTTCTCGTATTGACCCCCTAAGCTGCCGCTGCCGCTGCTCCCAGGATCTCCGGGTTGCGCAGCAACTGCTGCTGTTGCTGTTGCCATTTTTTCAACCCCCCCCGGGAAGTGCCGCAAAGCAGGCACGTCTTAGCAGCTCGTTATCTCCTTGCCTGGAACACTATATTGAGGATGCTGGCAACGCGCCGAGAGAGCTATAGCAGCCAGGTGGGTATGCCAGCTATTGCCAGCACAAGTTGGCCGGCATGCCAGGAGGAGGCCACGATCGGGGACTGTAGAGCATGCTGGCCCCCCCTCGTCGATCGGTGTTCCATTGTGCGGTGCCCCCCTTTCCAATGCCACTGCCACCCACCACCCACACAGCAGACAGCCACAGCATGTCATCTTTTCACGAGGGTTGTCTGGTGAGTCCACACTCCATTTTTTCCTGCGACCATCCTTTGATTGAAAACTCGGCTTGCTCTATTTTGGCTGTACCACTCGCTGATGGCATGTGAGCATGTGAGGTTTGAGCAGATGTCATAAATATCCCGCACACTGATCTCCGTCGTGCTAGGTACAGTAGCCGGCGACGCACATATCGGCGCACACATGATGGGGGCTCTTGCCGTCGTTGACACCAGCTGGTTGACACCCGCATTTCAACTCCTGTGTGGAGTTTCATGTGCATGGATCTTCTGTTCGTCGCCAATTGATATTTTGGAACCCATCGTTGACACCAGCTGGTTGACACCCGCATTTCAACTCCTGTGTGGAGTTTCATGTGCATGGATCTTCTGTTCGTCGCCAATTGATATAGTGGAACCCATCACAACAGCAATATAAAAGTGTCGGATGCATATCTTATCTTCGTGAAACAACCACTGATGCTGCTGCTGTATTGCTGTCGCCTTGTACAACAACTAAATAGACTAAAATATGCACTCGAGGGGAAAAGTGAGGAGAGCAGGCAGAAAGCAACGAGCGAGGAAATCGCCGCGACTACAGTAATATCAACTGTTCATGTCGGGAGAAAGGATGGCAATTTGACGTGCCACCCTCTCTCTTACCATGCAGTATTTCCATTCTCTGCTTGAATTTTGAGTTTGGTGCATAGACTACACCACGGCACCAACCGCGGTCTGCAAATCAAATCAACACGACGACCACTTCATTCATTCACCGTTTGCGTTTCCCCCGCCTTCCGTGCCCGGCCTTCAGGTGCTCTACCGTTCCACGGGACTATTATACACGGTTGTGCGATGGGACCAAGAAACCGAGTTGCTTCAGTTAGCACCTGCTGCCTCCCGCCCGAACAACGGAAAGAGCAGCAGTAATGCCGCCGACAACAACAATCCAACAGGGGTTACGTCCAGACGCCCGAGATTGGCTTTCGAACACATGGTCGATCTAGTCGACGAAAGTGCCAGTGAATCTTCGCCAGAGACAAGAAGTTCCAGCGACGGTGACCCGACCCGGTATGCCCGACGTACCGCGAACCTCGACGCCCGGGTCGAGGTCCGATTCGACCCGAAGCGAGGCCGCGGATTGTTCGCTCTGCGAGATATTCCGGCGGGGACAGAGGTGATGCGAGTGCCCGCGGCAGCGGCAGTGTTGCTGGATCGCAGCAGGAAGGGCTCGTGCAGTGGGTGTCTGCTACCGACCGACACAGTTGGTAGCCTGGAGGCATGCCACGGCTTCCCCCTCAGCTTCTGTGCTGCGTGCAAGAAGGCTACCACTGTCGGCGGCGTAAGCGGTGTTCACAACAGCGCCACGTGCGAGCTCACGAAGGAGTTGAACACGATCTGCGCGACAAGTGGTGGAATCGACAAGGACAGCCTGAGACTCGCGGCCGATGTGTTCGTGCGGAGAAAGGCAGGCTTATTCGATGATTCTGAGTGGGGCTTGCTCAACAGTCTCGAGAGTCACGACAACGAGGCCCACACGATGAGCCTAGCCCCTGCCGAGCTCCACAAGTGCACCCGTCTGTTCAAGACCCTGGTGGATACCAACATTTCGGACGAGGACGTCCAGGCGATGTACCGCAGGCAAGCAGCCGTGTTCGGCGCCACCACACGTCAATAATGGCGTTTAGGACTCCCAGAGGGAAATGAGGTTGACGAAGACTTTTACAGAGACCGTTACCGTACAGTGGCGGGGGGTTGGCGCGTAGCCTTCCTCTCTTGAGCCGGTTGTTTTGAACGAATAGCAGGCTATAGAAGTACGTATCCGAACTGTTTCGCCTCGTAATATTGCTGACCCATCATCTTCACTCCAAGCACGCCATTCTGCATGCGGCTTTGACCCCACACGCCGTTTTCGGTAGTCGCACCTGTTCCGCGGCCATCGTCCCCCCCCTTCGAAACCATACCTCGTGTTTCCTCTCCCTATGGTACTTGGGCCCATAAGCGCAATCTGCTCACACACTGCAATGTTGCCCACTTCACCGACCACACCATGTGTCCCACCATGCGCACCGTAACCGTCGCCAGGATCACTCGCAACGCGCACACGGTGTCCCCCAACACATCCAAGCCTGGCTTTGGCTCGGTCCAAGGGCTCTTCCCCTGTGGGGCTTTGGTAAATCACTCTTGCCTGCCCAACACGTTTTTCCACTGCGTGACGGAATCTTCTTCTCCCGAGGGCAGGCCGGTCGTTAAGCAGGTGCTGCGAAGCATCCGCAACATCCGCGCGGGAGACGAGCTCTGCTACTCGTACCTGTCCAGTGGTTCCGCCGTCGGTACCGTGTCTGTGAGTGGCTCTCGGGGATGGGACATAAAGACGAAAATTGTGGGTCGATTTGATTTACACAGCAGGGCTTGTGGTATATGGTCGCCTTGGCAACTCAGATGGCGAGAACATTGGGTCTGCGGAATATTTTGAAGGCCGAAACATCGTGTCCCCAGTTTATGCACGAGTCCCAGGTTCCGCCGAGGTCGGAAATGAATCGCTACGGTTCGGATCAAACACCGCGGAGAGCCCACGTAGGATTGTCTCCCAAGACGCAGTCAACATCGAAACTTAGGCGTATGTGGGGGTAAAACGCCCTTGTTCAATCCCCATCTCCTCTAGAAAAGGCACCCCAACACCAGTGGTGTGGGTCTTGCCATCTTGTGCATGACACTACACCTGCCGCAGCACTGTTGTGTGCGCCGCTAATAAGTACTTTCCTTCGTGTTATTGCGCCGTGATGTTTGTCGTCATCGGCAGGAACGCCGCGATCTCCTTATGGGCTGGGGCTTTCGATGCGCTTGCGCGAGGTGCCTGAGCGAAGCTGAAGAGGAGAAACGCCTCCGAAGACAACGAACCCCGATCGACGAAAGGGCACTGAAAATGCTTGAACGCCTTGCGCAGATCTCGGCCCTCGGGCAGAGGTGAGTGCATGGGGACTGCTGGCACTTGTCTGTTGGTCGAGTTTCGCGCTTCCTGAGCTCGTTCAGCAAGCCGGTACAATTGAGTCTCTGTCAGCCGCACTTAGTGCAGCGTGGGGTCCTCGCTGGTAACCCCAGAAGTCACCCGGCCCTCCCGCGCCTTTCCTCTGTGGTGTACCGGTTGGTTTTTCGCATGCCATATGCGATCTGGTCTATTTAGCCGCCAGCAGTGTGCATGTGAATCGCGGTGCCATGCCTTCTTCAAACGGCTGTGGATAAAACTACGCTTGTGACGAAACACTTCTGCATTCCCCCAAGATATTGCCTCACGTTCTCACCCGACCCACGTACTTTTTGGTCGATTCCAGGGAAAACGCACCAGCCCTGAGGGAAGAGGCGTACATGCCGGACCTCCAGCTTATCGCCGAATTCTACTCGCGCGAGAAAGGGAAGCTCCTCTCACCAATGCTGCAATATCGTGTGGCGGTCTTGATGATGGAGGTAACGGCCCTCATCGGCGCAACGAATCTGTTTTTCCGATTCATGGTTTGCGGATTCGCAGCAGATGAGTTGTCCGAGCTACGCAACGCCATGGCGATCACGTGTCGCCAACAGCAGTACATGTTCGCCACGAAAGTCGAAGTTTGTGATCTGGGGGAGACGCAAGCGACGAAGAAGCTGGAGGGTATCAGGGCCGTTGGGAAGTTCGCTCGCAATGATGCGCGGCGACTCCATGAGCTGTACTACGGTGGACAATCGAAGTAGAGCATTGGCCGCACGCTGAAATGACCCGCCCTGTACGTGCTTTCGATCAATAATCTCACCGAGTGAGGACGTCTTGATTGTACAGAGACAATCGATGACTTGTTGTGTATATATGTGATTTGTTTTTGTCCTCTGGCGGACTGGATACATTAGACCTCATTTCGCGTCGATTAGCATGCTACATAATTGTAGCACGTGTTTACCTGCGTGCTCTGTTGTGAAAGTTGATGTTGTGGCTTCCTTACTGCTTGTGTTGTTTTCTTTGAATGTTGAAGTAAGACTTAGCGCCCCCCGTTTTCTAAGATTTTAAAAGAAAACTCGAAGAGGCCTCAGAAAATCCGGCGTGCGTCGTTCGGTGGTCACGGGCTCGTCATAGCCCGCATTAATCATTGTGGTGCGCGTTATGGCAAGGTAGTCATTTTTAGGACCTGTTCCCCTCCGTCTGGCCCATGTCCTTAGCTGGTTCATTCCAAATTCCATTTTTCCGTTGCCGGCTTACGCGCTGATGCTTGCGCCACAACCTCAAGCACGTGTAGGGGATCAAATGACACAGGGATTTTGAACACTGGAAGTGCGCAAACATTCTTCCTGCCTCTTTTCTTTGACCCTCGTCGGCAGCAGCAGCAGCAACGGCTGATACAGAATGTTTGGCACACGCGCATCCGTGTACTTGCCGCATCAGATGCAGGCAAAAGTACGTACAAGGTCTCGAATCCCGTGCGCTCTTCTCTTCTGGGTCTTGTTGAACCTTTCGTTCTTGGGAATTTTCTCCATCAATATCAACACGTCCACATCAAAACAATAACATCTGGTCTATGCTCAATAGCGTTTGGGAATCATTCTCAAGTTCTGTCCAACTCTCACGTGAGGGTGGGAGTCACGGCAGCACCGGAGGGTCAAACATGATGCTCTCCCTTCTCACTGTAAAATCCTCTACGGGAAGGAGCCAAAGGAAGGATACTCTGTAACCTCTTGGGTATCTAAATCTACCAACAGATACCCCGGCAATTATACATACCATATACAGGAAGGTGCACTGAGGTAAGGGGGATAAGGCAAGCCAAGTAACAACAGGTCGACGTGGGACCACGTTTCACATCACAACACACTTGCACCTGGTATTCCTTGTGCAACAATAAAATAGGCAGTCCTGCCTCAAAATCCGCCCCACATCAAAACCTCTCACCAACTGTAGCTGGTACCGTAGCTATCTCGTTTCCCGTGGTCGTGCCCACCACCATCGTTGTCAACACAGGGATCTAGACAACGTGGTCTATTCTACGTCACGAATATTTGCCACAAATTTGGTGGGGTTGCCAACCAACTCACAGGAAAGATCCTTCCCCGGAAAGCTCCTCGAAAGGTGACAGTTGAATACACGCACATCTTCGCCACCTCGACCCCCGGCGGCCAGCATCCCGTTCGGCGCCGGTCCTCAACGTAAATCTGCCTTCCTTGCGGAAGCACAAGTTTCTTGTCGGAGGATAGGGTCGGTGCCACGGCTGCATATGATCCTCCTTTCTTTGAGATTACTCCTGGGGTTTACGCTTGGAGCGCTGCTTTCCCCGTGCATGCTTGTGCCGACCGCAGGGCCCCAGCACCCAAGCGTCTGTGATAAAAGAAAGGTCTGGCCTAAGCGAACCGGAGTCAATGATCATTGGCACTGGAGGCGGCGACCGATCCCATCCAGAATGAGGAGCTACCTCCCGGAAGTGTCACTGGGCCCGTGCTGCGCCTTGGGGAAATAAATGCGTCGCCTGCAAGCGCCTGAGATGGAGCTAATATCACCTCCTCTACCGTCACCGCCACCCTCCCAACAGGCTGCCGGAAATACGACATGACCGTGAAGCCGGAGGTTAACGTTGTCCTCTCCACCCCGAGCCACGGCGGACAAGCCTATTTTCTCTGCGATGCGCGACCTCGGCGTGCATGCGCTTACACTGTCGGACGAGCGCGCCCTCCGTGCTGGCGGGGTTGGCGCCCGTACGTGCTCTCCTTCGCTAGTGCTTTCTCCAAGGTGCCCATGCTGGGGGTTTCTTGGGAAGGAAGTCCTGTTGTTGATGGTGGCGGAGGGTTTTGGGCTCTCTCTCACGTTGTCGCTGGTGCATGCCGTGCACCGGCGGCTCAAAATTCGCGGTGAGTCCGATAAGTCACACCCAAGCATCCCGTAGTCAACGATTATTGGGTGCCCGGGGAACCGCTCTAACCCACTGCCGCAACCCCATCGGGGAAGAATTTCTGCGACGCAGCGATCACCGACCCTTGCCCGCAAGATAGGCAAGGACATGCGTGGACTTCGACCGCGCGGAGTGGAGCCACTATCGCCGAAGCGCGTACTTCTCCTTCCCCACAAGATAGGTAGGGACATGCGTGGGCTTGGGTCACCCGTAGCGGAGCCACTATCGCCGCCGTTGCTGCTCAGCGCTGCAGCTGCGCACCCGCATCTGCGGTATCCTCGAACGGACGGTAAGACCATGGGCACGGTCTCAACGGTTGATAATAACACCGATCTCGGCACGACGCCACATATCGCCAACGTCGCGGCTGCCTCCGCCAGAATTCTCATCGACCACGAATCTCTGACGGAGCGAGGTCCTCTCGTCGTGGTCGGTGTTGACTGTTGAACCAATTGCGCCCGTTCTCTTCCACCGGATCCCCACCTGCCCTCACAAGAGAACTTGTTCGGGCCAACAACTCCTGCCTGAATTCTCGAGGAAAAGGGGCTTCGGATGACTGCGTTGTCCGACACAATTGGTTCTGTTGGCGAATCCACCGGCACTGGCTCCCGTGCTGTCCATGTGCGGCCACAGCCTACGTCACAACCATCACCAAAATATGCCACGTTAGAGGGTGCAAGGACCGCCGGCTTTTGCATGTCACGACCGTTCGCGAGGGTTGCCGCTGCCTCCGACAGGATCCTGGTGTACCATGGATCTTTGGCCACGAAAGCCCTTATCTCCATCAGTGCTGCTGACCCGAAATCCGGCGATGCCGTCTCCTTTTCATTGTTTCTCAAGCTGTCATCACAACACACGGCGTCATAACCATCGCGACCCGTCAGCTCCGGGGGTGAAACAGATGCCACTCCCCGTATGTCCCCACGATTTAGTATCACTGTCGTTGCCTCCGCCAGAATCCTCGCGCGCCACGGATCTTTGAAAGCACCGTTGCTGTTTTTTGTCGGTGGTTGTGGTTGTGCATGTGTTTTCGGTTGCGCCTCAGTTTGCGCGGGTAGCAGAAATCTTGTGCTTTTCCCGCAACGATCATCGTTGAGACCAATACCATCTGGTACAAGAAAGGCGTCCATCGAATCGTTTTCGTTTCCCCAGGTACCCCTGCTGTCCTTCCCCGCGTTCGTGTCAAGCGGCTTCACAGGCGACGAAGGGGCATCGTGCGGTACTGGGGGAGTCACGGTTTGCCGCTGAAGCTCTGGCGGGAGGTATAAGTCTGGGGCCGTCGCACTGCCGCCGACCCGAGGTGTTTGAGAATCATTCGTGGTGATTGGGCTTGCTTCTTGCTGTCGAGAAACATCAGCAGACGATGCAAGCAGTCCGGCTTGGTTTAGCAACCCATCCTTCGCTGGGGCACGCTCGATTTGCGAACACGACGTCTGATCTGTCGCTGGCTGCTCCCGTTGATTCTGCTCGTCATTTTCCGAGCGGATCAAAGACACCATAGGTGTCTGCTCGTCTCTTCGAGGTCCCTCCGCACCTTTCCCCTCCGCTGTCTCTATCCCCCCGGCAACTCTCTCCTGCTCTGCCTTTTGCTTCGAGTGACGCTGGTCGGCTCTTTCCTCCTCACTCCCGTTGTTTCCGTCCGATACCACCTCTGGCTGGAGGTCGGTTCCTTCCTCCTTTCTCAGATCTTTCCCGTTTAAATCTCCGACGACCTTCTCAAGGACCGACTCCGTCGAGAAGGGTTCCCTCCTCTCTGAAGCACTCTCCACCTCGTCGGAGCGCTCGGGTTTTGAGTCGAGAAATACCGGTTGCTTGTCAATTTGAGGCCCCTCCTCACCTTTCCCCTCCGCTGTCTCTACCCCCCCGGCAACTCTCTCCTGCTCTGCCTTTTGCTTCGAGTGACACTTGTCGGCTCCTTCCTCCTCCTTTCCGTCGTCTAATCCTGATACCACCTCTGCCTGGTGGTCGGTTCCTTCGTTCTTCCTCAGTTGCCTCCCGTTTGAATCTCCGACGACCTTCCCGAGGACCGACTCCATCCCCTCTGAAGCACTCGCCACCTCATCCATATACTTGGTGTTTGAGTCCAGAAATATCGTTTGCTCGTCGTTTCGAGGCCCCCCCTCACCTTTCCCCTCCGCTGCCTCTATCCCCCCGGCAACTCTCTCCTGCTCTACCATTTGCTTCGAGTGACGCTGGTCGGTTCCTTTCTCCTCACTCCCGTCGTTTTCGTCTGATATCGCTTCTGGCTGGAGGTCGGTTCCTTCCTCCTTTCTCAGTTCTTTCCCGTTTAAATCTCCGATGACCTTCTCAAGGACCGACTCCGTCAAGAAGGGTTCCCTCCCCTCTGAAGCACTCCCCACCTCATCCGAATACTTGGGCGTTGAGTCGGTAAGTACGAAGCTCATCGGCCTACTGGGGTCCAAGGTTAACGTTGCCTGATATTAATAAAAACGGTACGTCAGAAAGCGTGGCATTGGTTGGGCGGACTCGGTGGGATGGTAGAGAGGGGGCGCGTGCTCTTATGATGACGGATCGTGAACTCTCGCATTCGTCTGTACGGGCAGAGTCGAAGACAGGCGTTCGTCGAGGTCTTCTTCCCGTGAGGCTTCCCCCATTCCGTCCTCTACTGCTGCCAGCGTTCGAAATGCGCAGTAAGTACGAGATACAAAAGGCACGTAAGGGGGGGTCGGGCCTACGACTTGAAAACCCGCGAAGCTAAAGATGATGGCGCGTCCCGTACGAGGTCGAAACAGTTCATAACGAGTACTTTGTTGGCGAACCAGTGCCTCGGGAGTACTCCCTACGAAACAGAATATAGGCACTGTATGTATGAGCCCAAGACACGAACAAGACTCGGAAGGCAACCGTTCATAAGCAGCAACAAGCAGGGCAATACTCCTAATCTCTAGATCTACGTATCTCTACTAATTCAATACAGAATCCGGGGCATTTCACCTGCCTTCCAAAGGTTTTGGACCGATAAAAACCTGCCGTCTCTGAACTTTCTGATTTTCGCGTGCATTCAGATGGAGCCTCCCCAGTGTACAGAACAACAAGGGGCACCATTTTCTCACCACGCTTTGCAGCTGGGTCCTGTC